TCTGATACATTTCAAATTAATAAAAAAATTCAAAATATCAAATTTAAAATGTTTTGTTTGTTTGTTTTAACTGCTTTGAAAACCCTGATCAGCATGTTTTCTGCTGTGACTTATTTTGAGTAAACATCACATACAGTGAAACTGTGAGCAGCACTGGTCATGTCTAAAACAGAATACAGGAAACATCATTCATCTGCTCTCTTTGTGAACATAAGCCAAGACTCTATCACTTCAGCTAATCGCAGAATGAATCTGAGGGTTTAAAGACTGAAATATTCAAACATGCACATTCATCGGATAAACTGTGTGAGTACAGTATAGACTTCTCATTAAAACAACACCGAGAGAGGGGGAGCTTTGTTCGGTGTGGTCAGGGACACAGTATCAGGTGAATGGGCAGATGTCCGCCAGTCTCAATTATTCATTTATTTTAATTGTGGCGGTGACGGGTACCAGATTTCCTTTCAATGCCAAGCAACTGCTTTCAGATCCATCACGGCGTGTTGGAGCAGCACTGATTAACCCCACGCTAACAGGCCGTGATTACATAAAAACTCCTGCGTCCAAAACTCGCCGTCACTCTTACACACTCAATAGAGCGAGAGAGCGGGAAGGAGCGGAGAGCAGAGCGAGGGAGTGAGGTTATGCCGGGATACGCACCACGCCTTTGTCTGTCGAGTCACTAGGACAAGGTTTATCAAAGTTGAACCTGATCCGAAATGGGCTTTTGTTACCCGCCGGATACTTTTACACTGGTGTGTTCTCTAACATTCGAGAGGGCGCTGCGAGAGGGTGTGGGAACGAGGGAACCAGAACAATGATCAGGATCTCAGCACGGTTCTAGATCACTGCTGGGTACATTACTGTATGTCCTACTCAAAACACACACACACACACACACACACACACACACACACACACACACAGAGCTCAGAACAACATTAAGTGTTTAAAGTAATTACTGTTATTTCCATAACAGTAATATACTGTATTTAAAAGTTAAAATTCACACACAGTGGTGAGAATGAATATACACTACCGTTCAAAGAGTACGATTTTTTTATGTTTTTGAAAGAAGTCTCTTCTGCACACTGAGGCTGCATTTATTCAATTACAATTATGGTTAAATCAGCAATATTATGAAATATTATTACAATTTAAAATAACTGTTATCTGTTTGAATATATTTTAAAATGTAATTTATTCCTGTGATTCAAAGCAGAATTTTCAGCATCATTACTCCAGTCTTCAGTGTCAAATTATCCTTCAGAAATCATTCTAATATGCTGAGTTGCTGCTCAAGAAACATCATTACTATTTCTGGTTAATATTTTTGTGAAAACTGTAAAAAAAAAAAAAAAATTCAGGAATCTTTGATGACTAAAAAATTCAAAATAGCTGCACTCATTTGAAATAAAAAAAAATCAATTGAAACATTATAAATTACTTACTGACACTTTTGATCAATTTAAAGCATCCTTATATATATATATATATACATACTGTAATGTCAAAGACAATGTGGTCTAGCACAGTGATTCTTTTCATCTTTAATAGCAAATATTTCTATAAAATATCTTTTTATTATTTTATTTTTATACAAAGGTAATTTGGACCCAAACACAGAAAGTAACAATAATGATAGGAATGATCAAGTTAAAGAGAAAAACTGTTCAAAATAAACAGAATGACTATCTGAAGTAAAAGAAAAAAAAGAAGAAGAAATATGAGAGAATTTATCTGGTTTGCAATGTTTTAAAGAAGCTAAAATGTAAAAAAAATGTATATATATATATATATATATATATATATATATATAAAATTGTAGCTCTCTGGAATACCTGATCATGACTGGCTATACGTGACCTTTTAGAGTCTAATATGTTTGCACCATGATGCTACAGTGCATAATTTTATTGTTGATCCAGCAAATCGATGCCCATATATGGACATATATGTGCTAGTTTCATTATTGCAAAAAAGACCCCCCAAAAGTGAAATTATTTAGTCACATCTCTGCACCATCTCTATATCTATGCTAGTTTCATTATCACAAAATAAACCCGTCAGGCTGATACAAACCCTCACATCGGGGTCTGGGTTCATTTTGTGATAATGACCAGCTGACCACATATTAGCACTTACAAAAGTGAAGTATTTTAGTTTTGATGGATAAATCATTTAATTTGATTCAGTTAGTGAGAGAAAAACTAATTTGTGATTTGTTACTAAATAACGGCACTTTGAGAAGTATAACTTGGAGACGCGCAAACACAGCCTCTTCTATGAATGTGTGCATTTAAGTGCGTTTGTAAGCAGTGAAGAAACCTAATAAGAACAGTCTGTCCAGTTCACAACGTAAGATAAAGGTAGGGGATTCACATCTGCTCACACAACTTGTTTCTGATGACACAGCCGCCAACACACTCAAACAGAGAGTCAAATACTGCCTGTCTATATGTCATTTTCCTTCCTCTCTCTTCATCTTCAAAAAAAGCCTGTGTGGCGATTTAGGTAAAGCCCATCTATCAAAGCCTAACCTTTTACACACACAGAGACAGTAACACTCACTCTGACGACATTCCGACATGAATGTGTAGCTCTGAAAAACCAGCTATTAAACACCTCACATCTAATTAATTCAGCAGTTAAACGGTTAACAATAGATAGTCACAGCCATCCGCCCCATTACCTGATGCTGATGTCATAGCATGCCAATTTTAACAGCAGTTCAGCAGGTCACATGGTCATGTCATTTCTAAATTCCATCACTATGTTCACGGTGATTGAGTCGAGTTGCTATTCATAAACTCTGAGCGCTGTGGTCGCTGGGATTATATGAACTTTCTTTAAGAATTCAACAGGTGTTTTTCTTTAGCTGCTCCTACACATCACATGACTAATCACCCATCACAAACAGGAAATTAACCACAAATTTGGGTCAAAAGAGAAAACGTTTTATGCTCATACAATGACTCCATACAGCTCTTCTGTTCCATATAAACTAAACTGATGATCAGTTCAGAATCATAAGTTGAACTAGACATTCTACAATTACTGTATATGTTTAACTAAAGTTCTCTATAACTAGACTTTACTTCACAACAACATAACCTGAGTTTATTAGACTTATTTTAACTATAGTGTTCTATCAGTAGGCCATATTAAAATTACATTTTACTGAAACCAATATATGACTATAACCAAATTTTATTAGACTTACTATAACTAAACTTACTGTTTTATCACTAGACTTTACTAGATATATAACCAAACCTAGACTTTACTATAATCTGTTCTAGATCTAGACAACACTATAACTAGACTATAATATAACCAAGTTTTATATAGACTATTACTAAAGATTATTGTCCCATCACTACACTATAACCAGATGTTATTATACTTTACTGTACTACAATCGGTTCCATACCTAGACCAATCAATAACTAGATTATACTATAACCGATGTTATTAGATGATTACTAAACTTTACTGTCCTATCACATACTTTACTATAACCAAGCTTGATTGAACTGATTTACCAATAACTACCTAATTTTATTAGATTATTACTAAACTTTGCTCTTCTATCTCTAGATTATACCAGAACTATACTGTGCTATCTATAATCAAACCTTACTATTCACTATAATATAATCTTTTATATATCTAGACTAATCAATAACTAGACTATAGCCATTTTTAGACTTGTTATAACTAAATTTACTGCTCTATAACTAGATTAGACTGTAACAATATTTCAATATAACCATATTTAATTATACTTTAAGTTCATGATATAAACTTAACTGTGCATTAACTACACAATACCATAAGTAGTAACATAACTAAACTTTCTATTTTACCACTATACTTTAACTATACTTTACAATAACCAAACTTGATTAGACTTTGCTATACTATAAATGTTATGGTTCCATAACTAGTTTACACCATCTTATAACAAAACTTTATTAGACTTTACGATACTAATCTTTACTTTGGTATAACTAGACTATACCTCATGATGTTATACTCTATCATACTGTACAATACTATACTCAAACTTAACACACAATAACTAAACTTCTGTTCTATAGTATCAACTAAGCATTACTATCCTGTACTTTCAAGTATATTCTATGCCAGGGATAGTATATTCTATCGCCACGAACATCGGTCCTGGCGAGCCGCAGCCCTGCAGAGTCTTGCTTCAACCCTAATCAAACACACCTGAACAAGCTAATCAAAGTCTGAAGGTTTATTAGGAAGCTACAGGCAGGTGAGTTTTAATTAGGGTTGGAGCTGAACTCTGCAGGGCTGGAGTTCGCCACCCTTGTTCTATACTATAGCTGTACTTTACTGTGACTGTACGTCTTTGTACTGTAACATAGTTTAGTTTTTTTAGCTGACGCGTCTTTCTTTTCATTTAAAGCTGATCTGATATGATTTCAGCTGAACGCTTTGGGTCGTGTGTGTGTGTTTGAGTGATCTCCTCTGGTTTTCTATGAAAAGTGAGAACAGCTGATTGGGGAGCATCTAAACTCCTGTAGGTGTTTCCTGTGTGAGAAGAGTCACTGTAACCAGTGGCAACTCCCAGACTCTCTCCTCTCTCTGCTGTTCTGAGTAAATTACAGAAACACACACACACACGTTTGAAATGATCACACACACAGGATTGAGGGCGCACCACGACACACGTTTACATAGAGCGACCGAGCTCAATCAACCACACACACACACACACACACACACACACACACACACACACACAGAGGGAAAGCGGGCTGTTTTGTAATGTTGCTGTAAGATTTTGGTTTTGAAACTGGGTCCACCCACTGGTGTGAGAAGAGAGGAGAGGCACAGATGAGGGGAGTAGGGAGAGAAAGACGAGAGAGAAATGAGTGTGTGGGCTATCACTCACTCACTCTCTGTTTAAAATAAGGACACATTGATCCACCCACCCCAACCTCACATCTCAAACACACACACACACACACACACACACACACTGGAGACTGGAGCAGATACCTCAGCAAAAGAGTTTAGGTATCACAGCGGCCTGATGGACTGACAGTCGGGCTGTATTGAGTGACGGCAGGAAGAACACATGATTGAGGAATCATCTCAGCGTTTGGTAGCTGCTGGTTACAGTATTGTGTCTGGATATCGTTTACGAAAAATGATTTTCAGTGGCTGATATGATATCTTCAGGGCGGTTTGGTCGATATACTGCTAATGGACAATGACAAAAGAGACTAAATGTATTCAAATTAAATAAGCACATTTTACACAATATTTATTCCAAAACAGAAGGAAATGTCTTGGCCTGATGAAGAGTACACACGTCAGGCGAATCAAATTACTTCCAGCTTGGGTAATTTCTCAATACGGTTCCACCATTTTTGTTCATTCCCGTGTAATTTCAGACTGTCAGCATCAATCAAATTAAATGTATTAATACATTTATAAATTATAAAATATATGAAATATTAAATTGATGTATTATTTATTGATAATATATCAAAATTAAATATACATCATACATTAAATACATTTATTTAAAAAATTTAAATGAATAATAATTATATATTTCTAATATTATAAATAATATATTTTTAATTTTTAATTATATAACACACATATATATTAATAAATGTATTATAAATTATAAACTATATTGAATATTAGTATATATTCTATTATATATTCTTCTTAATAGTATACAGAAATTATATATATATATAAACAATATGTATTATTAATGTATTTGTATATAACTACATAAAATGGTTCTTTGAATCAAAAGGAAAGCTAAATATCCAGTGCCGTTATCAATATAGACTTCTGTGAACCGTGTGTGTGAGAACATGTGTGTGATATGTGCTTGCATTTTTTGCATGAAGCGACATATGTGCATACGGTGTGTGACTGATCACTAAAGCTTGCATCTTGTGTGTGCTCGCGTGTGTGTGTGTGTGTGTGTGTGCGCGCTTTGACAGACATCTGTCTCCTGTGCCCTGCAGCCTGGTTGGTTTTAATTAGGTAGAGCCAGAGGGCCTGAGGGCAGACAGGGGCTAGTCATAATCACACACACACACACACACACACACACACACACACACAGGGCCAGCCTCCCCCTCACAATCCTCCACAAAAAATGTCCTTTCAGAAGGAGCATCTCAAAAAATACAAAACACACACTCTCACACACACACTCCCATCTGTTTCAAACACACGTGTGAGACGTGTGTTTTACATGCATGATTAGTTTGATTAATGACATGTACATTTCAGTCAATTTGAGCGCTTAAGTAGTTGCCTTCAATGCCTGTAGTCACACATGAATGCCAGCTCAATGCCATCACCACAAGTCCTGACTTTCTGTTGAAGGTGTGTCAGTTACTGAATCATTGTGGAAGTTAATTGGTTTCAATGATAATAATTTGTCATTCCAATAGCTCAGACAGTAGAGCATGGGTAATGCATGCCATGAACTAATAAAATGTTTACCTTGAATGCAATGGATAAATGTCTACCAAATTGCATAAATGTACATGTTAATTGTACTTTGAGCTTTTATGCATTTTGACAGGCTTGCAGAATGAAACCGTTTCCCATCATGCTCTGAGGAATGATAAAGCATCTGATAAAGGATCAGTTTCACTAATGCACATTATTAGCGCTTCATTTTGTTAAACTAAAAAAAAGTCAAATCTTTGTTGAGAAAGAAAAAGAAATTCTGTACTGGTTTTATTCTTTATTTACGACTTATAAATATGAACAAAATAGTTCAACTTTTAAATATGTAAACTTTTAGATATCAAGTGCACTAATGCACATCATTTGCGCTTCTTTTTGTCACACTATCACAAAAAATCTAATCTTTGTTGCAATATGAAAAAGAGAAAGAAATTGTGTTCGCTTCATTCTAATTACATAATTGCAACTCCTAACTATTAACTAAATAGTTAAAGATATAAATAAAATAGTTAAACTTTTAAACAACAACTTCACTAATGCACATTATTTGTGCTTGATTTTGTTGCACTAGCATAAATATGTTAAATCTTGGTTGAGGTATGAAAGAAATTGCATGTGTGTATTTCCTAATTTCATAATTGTGACCCGTAATCATAAACAAAATGGTTACATTTTAAAACATTTACATTTCGATTTCTGCATTTAGCAGATGATATTATTTAAAGTGACTTTCATTGCATTCAAGATACAAATTTTAAAGGTACAAAAACAGTATTTAAACATCGACTGCACTAATGCAATTTTTTGCATGTATATTTTTACACAATAAAGCATGTGTACATCCCATAATTCTGTCTTTATACTGCTGCTGCAACAAACTGAATGTGCTTATCCCCATAACCAAGTGCACCACAAGTCAACGCCTAAAAAGTCACGCTAACAAATCACACAAATAAAAATAAGGTGGCATTTTGACACATTTGTATGTTGCTGTTTCTGGACTTTGAAATGTAAAAAAAGTTATCGATATGCAGTCACACACAGACTCACCAAACCAAAAATCACAGATAAAAAAACCCTCTTAGCAGCAGCATTTCCAAAAACGTCCACTTTATGTGTGTGTGTGTGTGTGTGTGTGTGTGTGTGTGTGTGTGTGTAGAAGATAGCAGATAACACAGATGAAACGGTCCAAAAGACACAACACTTCCAGTAAAAACAGGAGTTGGAGTGTGGAGGGGTTTAGTGATGACCTTGACGCATATTTTGGGCTCCGTGTGTGTGTGTGTGTGTGTCGTCCTTGGACGACTGTTTCCCACCCTAGTTGGTGGGTTTGTCTGTAAGTGGGCAGAGATGACAAATTTTTCCCACAAGCCCACACCCTGGAGCGCCAAAACCCCCACTCTCAGAATACATCTGTGCACGGCGTCCCACATTACAAATCCTAAGGCTTAGAAAACAGAATATAAAACTGAAGAATTTATGCATCAGATTTGAACACAGTTTCAGAATCAACGTTTTTGGTGCTTGACTATGCAAAACGCTATGGAGTTGTGAGTGGTTGCCAAGGTGTTTCTATGCAGTTGCTAGGATATTTGGTGCGGTTGCTAGGTGAAAAATCACTTTATTTAGTACCAGCACATCTCTCATCAACAAGACATGAATTGTAGAATTGAAAGAAAGAAAGAAAGAAAGAAAGAAAGA